CCCCCCCCCCCCCCCCCCCCCCGACCAAAGCTTCAGTCTTGTAGTTGTATGATGGGGAGCCCTTTGTCTGTGCATCTATTATTAGAATACATACATGTAGGCGATTGAGGCCCTCCCCCCCCCCCCCCCCCCTCCGATCGAATAATGAAAAAAAGGGAAAGAAAAAAGAAAAAGAGAGAAAAAAAGAAGGGGAACGGAAAAGGAAGATAAAAGAAGACGATTAGACCCCTTCCCCCCTGATCGTAAATTTGCATTCAATTTTCTGACTAGACCTGTGCCCCCGTATGATGCCAGCTAGTCCCCCCTCAACTTCTGACTCTAGCTACGCCAGTGCATATGTTCGGGATTTATGACATGATGGAAACATTTTCAAGGGTTGTAGTATGTGAATATAATTACTGAAATAAGACTAAATCAGTACTAATGTTATGTAGATCTAGCCTATAGTAATCCCAGACAACTCGCCCTAAAGACAGCTCGCCCTTGGAAAACTCGACACAATACCCTGGACATCTCGCCACAATACCCTGGACAACTCGACCATGGCGAGTTGTCCAGAGTATTGTGGCGAGATGTCCAGGGTATTGTGTCGAGTTGTCCAGGGTTGAGATGTCTTTGTGGCGAGTTGTCTGGACCCCGTCTAATGATGTAGCTGCTAGCTGTTCGTTCCCCCAGTGATTTCTTCTTAATAACATTCTATAAATTAGGTACCTGTCCTTGTCTAGACCCTCTACAGATACTACAGTATACACAAACCTAACATTACACTAGTCCAAATCAAACAACACAGTAACACTAAACAACAGTTATAGTACTAGTATTTATAGTATATTAGTACCTGCATGATCTGACATGTACATCATGTACATGATGTAGGCCTAGGGCTAATTTATTGAAGATACATACAATAATGTATGTAGGCGGCTAGGCCTACCCTGATTTAATTAACATTGACTTGTAGTTGTACACATTACTTGATCTTACTGTTACTAGTGTTATAACTAACCGTTCTACGACAGCACAGTCACAGTCACAGTGGCAATCAATTAGTCAAGATAATCAATACAACAAAGATGATAAGGCAACAAGTATAATTACTCACCCATAACACCATCATTCTGTCAAACTATATATGTAGGACTCCATGCATGCAGCATGCGCATCCATCAAGCGCCTTGGTAGTCTCTTTTAAAGTCTATGCGATAATACACGCAGGAGCAGGCTCGTGTGTATTGTCAATGGTGATGACAACACATTTACCAATTTTCATATGGAAAGTTGTTGCTTTGGGCAACAACTTTACCAAATCGGTAAAAAAAGCAACACATTTACCATTTTTGCAACAACTTTACCATTCACAGGCAACAACTTTACCAAAAATTGGCAACAAGTTTACATGGGAAAACCCTCTCTCTCTCTCTCTGTCTCTCTCTCTCTCTCTTTATCGATTTATTTTATTGTATGCATTTTCACTCTCCTCGGGCCGCTTTCATGGTAGTTCATTGTACATTGATAGTCTGTGCAAACTACTCTACGGTAGATTCGGGTTGATTTATGTTATGCCCCTGTCAAGTTTTAAAGGTTTTCGCATAGATTAAGGATATTTACGTAGCTACACGGCGTAATTTACCACGTGTGCCTCCCCCATTGCTAAGCAGACATGAAATAATAAAAAGGATGAAGTTAAAGAGAGGCTGGAAAGTAATTGTGGTGGGAATATAGGACCCTACATAACCCCACCAATCGCTAGGCTTGTACATGTACTTGGCAATAAAGTAACCCATACTACTGCCCCTACCCCCTCCCTCCTACAAAAGCATTCCCCTGCCCCGTTAATGGCCTGATCCATGCTACTTCACTGTGTACATTTACATACATTATGTGTAGAGGCAAGTTCGTTAGAATCGTGCTTCTTTCTATTTGAAAGGATTATATTGCATACACTCAAATTAAATGGGATTTTTATTGAAAGCCCCACATCTCGTGCCTGCACGCTTTGCGAATAGGGTGCGAAGTCCACCTTTCCATATTTTGCAATGTTTGTTTCATTATGTTGGCACTTCGCCCATCCAGTACACGCATCAATCTCACGTCGCCCTTGCATATCACGTGAACAAAAATAATATCCACAACATTAATCTTAAAATGATATGGGAGCTTATACATGTATATCATGCAACATGTATTCATGAAATTGACGTGGCCTTGCGCTAACATTATATGCACACTGACATTGATAAGAAGGGTATGCACAACAAAACTGATTTAATTTGGAATTGTAGACTTATTGATAAATATGATTTATTCTACAAGATGGCAAATTCTTATTTAGATATATTTATGTAACTGCTTGGGACTATGCAAACAAATGGCATTTACTAATCTGTATCTATTTTCATGCGAATGGGAAACAAACGAAAGAGAAAGAGAGAGAGAGAGAAAGAGAGAGAGAGAGAGAGAGAGAGAGAGAGGGAGAGAACAAATTATGAAACTATTACCATATTCTGTTCAAAGGCTTTGGCCGTTTTATTAACACATGTTTGTATTAAGAGAAAATTTGAGCGTAAACCCTTCCAGACATTAAGGAAAATGCTAACGTTTATTTTAGATATGGCATAAGTTTAATTTGTGATACAACTATACAATAGCAGGTCTTAAAGGCAAGACAAAGTTGTGGTATGGGGTGATGAATTTGGTTCTAATGAACATATTGGAAGCATATGCGAACCTACAATATTCAGTGATCGTTGTCGGAGTTGAAATCGAGTCTAAAGTTATGAAATTGTAAATAATACACTCTTTATGTTGTATAGCTCCCTCTCAAGGTCAAGATATTAATCAAGCTATAAAACAATGTGTCTTGACTAAAATCGACAGATATGCTATTCCCGTTTGGAAACTTTATATCGCAACTACATATTCTGAGATGTTCATGGTCGCAGCTACCTCACTCTAAAAAAAAAAGATAAAATTTTACACTTTACGAGGGTAAAAAGGGAACATTCATGTTTGTTGGGTAAAATTTGACACAGGGGTGGTTGGGTAAAAATTTACCCAGCAAATGTTTAATGTTTTACCCAACTGATGTGCAATATATTTGACCCAATGTAAAAGGTAAAATGTTACCCAACGACAACCATGTTCCCTTTTTGACGCAACATTGGGTAATTTTTACCCAACGCGTGGTTCAAATATTAATCTGCATCGTTACTTTCTTACCCCGGAAATGCGCACAGTCCAATTTTGATATGACACTATGGCAAGCGTAATTAAATGTCGAAGGGACTTGGTGTTTCGCTCAAGGTTGGGTAATACTTTACCCAACTTTTTTAATCAGAGATTTTGCACAGCAAAATTTACGACCGTTACGACCGTAGGCCGCTATTTGAAATTTATTAAATTAACCGCGAGCACCGTTAAATTTGTTTATTCAATTTTACTCGAAAGCTGAAGTGTTCCAGGGGCTAAATTTTATAGTGCTTATAATACATCCACAGGGACATCCAAATATATCAAAATTGTAAAGAATCATTATCCATCCAATTTTCAAAATTTCCCAAACCTTTAAAATAACAATCTTGCTACAAATTCACCCTGTACCATTAAGTATCTATGTCTTTTTTTACATGGTAACTTAAATAATTTCACTTGCACACATGCCATTTACAAAATAAGCTGACTTTAGTATGGGTTTTAAGCAAACACAACAGTCCCTTTTCCTTTTTTTTTTTTCCTTCTTTTTTTTCTCTCTATCATTTATTAATTGGATAATAATACGTACATCAGTTACACAAACTTATCTCGATTACAAAAAAAAACACATGAATTATACTTATATCACAAAAAAAGAATTATACTTTTTTGTTTAACATAGTCAACATTTTTCAACAATAGTCCCTGCTATAAGCAAAGACAATAAGTTCTGGTATTTCAACACAGAAGTATGAACAAGGCCCAACGTTACGTTTACCAAATGGTAACCTATTGAATTTTATTTTAATTTATTTGAATTGTTTTATTCACCTACATTGAAACATTGAAACAAAAGATATATATAAATGTACAATGACAATGTCAATATAAGATAAATACATGACATAAATTATAAAAATACATGTTCTACAGCGATATACATGTACATTATACAAATATCAAAAAATAGTTATGAGTAATGTTAGTGTCAAGTAAAAAAAATGTAATGACTATTTACAATGAGTTTGTGATCGATGATAAAAATAGAGTTTAAAAAAGCACATGTGCGAGTCGAGTCTGACTCTCGTTAAAACCTGAAATAAAGTTCATTGAAAAATACACCATGTGTTTCCTAATCCTATAAATAAGATTTGTGTATAATATTACAATTATTAAAGAAAACGAGACTGGTTGCTATATACCTCTAAGGTTACACTTCACATTACATCTGAATCGGAATATCACATTTGTTTTTGTATATGTAGGTTTATGTACGTCATATGACGCGTTTTTACGCGTTTTTTGCAAACCTGGTTTGGAAAAACGCGTCGAAACGCGTCGAAACGCGTCGTTAGACGCAAGAAAACCATAGTTTGTCGACAAGCCTCCTTTGTGAATTCGGGCCTATGGCTTGACCTACCTTGCAACACTTAATATATGCAGTTGCATTCTGACTATTGAAATACTATTATTCTTAACAGCTGAACGAAATAATTTGTATTGAGGCACTTCACAAACACTTATGCATTACATACATTACGAAAATGGCCTATTTGCATCTATTTAGGTAAATTATATTATCAACTTAAGAACAGCAAGTCTAGATGTACTACTCCAACTTTACCCCTCCTCCTTCAACTCTCCTGAACGTGGTCGTGTAAATAAAGTATATTTCCCACACTTCTCTAGCTTTCCATTTTATGTCTCACACATAACTCAATTATTTGGGATTAGCACCTTTCTGTATCCACTATCAATTCACTTCGCATCATATGCTTTTTTAACCCATTGCGTGCTGGAACCTGGTGGTCCCTTTGTTAAGTCTATGGGAATTAGATGATTTAGTAGTCAACGGGTTAACATCTACAGACATGTGGAGGATACACATCTCAACATTCGAAAATATGTACCTTCTCTGTACGATTTCTTTTTATTTTGTTGTGACTTTCTAAAACAAACCACAATCTTTTTCAGTTTTCATTACAAAAGAAAGAAGGAAAAGATATGACCAAAATATTTTACCAAATAGAATTCAAGTCTATTCTGTTCCAGAGTGTCTCTAAAAAATATTACGAATGACTGTCTTCAATTTATGCAATTAAAATTCTAGTTAGATATTATCCGAATTAAGAGGTCTTAGGAAAATCCGAACTGGAATAAATGTGTATTTGCATTTTCAAAGTGACATGTTTTTATTCCAAACTTTCTTCAACATATCTCCATTAACCTGTCTACGCTCTCCTGTTATCGTAATTTTAATGTGAATGTATCTCGAGCATATCTCGAGTATATCTGGGGAATGTCTATGCGAGTAAATTGTCCCTTTGATATTGGCATTTGGAACACACATTTATTTGATTTGAAGCTTCAAGAAACACCATTAAATCAACACAAACCAATAGATGAACCGTAAATCCCCTAAAAGCAAATACATTAACAAATAGAACGAACAAGAATATGAATGGCAAATACAAAATACATCATATATCATATAAACAAAAAGAGCAAAACATTAAAAACACGTTTCAAAGCTATGGTATACACAATCCATCCACATTTTAATCTATATAGGTACGGCAAATATACAGGCTTTATTGATAATCGCCCTTTTTTGCAAACTCTAACATTTTGGATGTCCCGAACATTTTCCACAATCAGCAGTAACTGTTTACTTTTCACTGCCTGAAATGAAAATATTATTTGTGGATCAATCTCAAACTGCTTCTTAAACAAATACATAGATATCGGTGGGTATAGTAATGACATAGCTTTAAGCTTCGTGTTTCTTTGGGGGAGACACTGCGATTGTCGTAAAAAGGGTACTTTTATATAATTGTGTTTTCTACCATTTTGTATTAATGCTCTGAAAATAGTGGATGAGTATTTTCATCGTAGCCACACTCTAAAACCAAACACCTTAAGAGAACACAGTTTCAACGTATTTCGTGCGGATTGTAAATCTTAAGAAGATGAATACGACCTTCTCCCCACAAATACGATATGTCCAGATATCAGATTCAAAAATAAAAATTCATGAAATTGAGAAAATGAATAATATATCAATAAGTATTGAGTAAGGATAAATTAAAAAGAGACGAGAGGCACAATTTTAATCATGAATTCCATAATAAACCCCCTGATTATCAAACTTTCTAAGATATACTCACATTATCCATTTCACTTTACAAATGGGTACGACAGCGTACAATGTATACATAGCATTGCAAACATGACAACAGAAAGCACCGATTTATTTTATTCTCCCCACAATACATTTATATCACGCTATATGACACACAATTTCCACTGTGTTAAAAGATACGAACAGTTTTCCCCACGCATCGGGCGGAGTGGCCCTTCCAAGGCCGTTTGCAGACACGTTTGGAGATCAATGCATATAGAGCAAATGCCGTATTATTAACATTAGATAAAATTGGGTGGACCATCTAAAAGGTAACTATTTCCACCTTCATAAAGATTGAGTATATGAACATTCCAACAAAACATCAGAACTAATAACTATAACTATAACAAATATCTTAAGGGAGGAGGTAATTAATCGTAACTACATAATGTTTTAAAGATTGGAGTGCATGCGTACATACCCTACGTATTGGTCTAGTATAACAACACCAGTCTATACACTACAAACCCACACAACTTGGCGAAGGGTATGTGCGGACTACCACAACGAAACTTATTGAAAAAATATCTTTCCGCCTGTGTACAACCGTTAACAAATAAAAATGACAATAATACTTTCATTTCTACAGCCCACACATATAATTTACATTATACTATTACCATGTTTTTAGTCCAGCTGCTCTTCACTAAGCATTGAATCAATCACCTTATACCATGCACCAATATTTATGACATGTTTATTGAGAGTAACACAAATGTAGATTCATTTCTTGTCAAAGGACATTATGGCTACACAATCCTAGGGAATCTAGGGTACTGGAGTAGCATGATTTCCTCTGCAAGTTCGGAAAATCCTGCCTTGAAAAGTTCGTTGTTCTCATGTTTTCGAAAATCGAATTTGTTCTTTACCATTTTGTTCAGCGTAGGAATTTTGTCAAAGTGTTTCACACAATTCTGCATCCATTCCACGACGGCCGTTGATGTAGTAGTCCGATCCTCCTGACGTTTTGTTGTACGTAGTCCGAGGTGTACGTATAGTCTCTGCAGTTGATCGTCCTCGAGACTGTTGCAAATGTGTATTGCTACTGCTCCACTCATTTGCATATGTTTGTACAGACCTATGAAGAGAAAGAAATCAGTTGGAAAATGTGCGGTTGTTCAATAATTTCAAAAAATAACATTGAAAACGAACACATTATCTCGTCAAAGTAAAAGGAATAATACCAATGAAAATGATGATAATAGGAAAAGTATGAACAACAACAAACATAAACATGTATTGAGCGCAGAAACAATGCACATGCGCTGCAAGAGCAAGGTAGTATAAATGAACATCAAGAAAACTTTTTAGCATCATCACTTGGTATTTGGGCATGCAAGGTTTGTCGATGCGTTACTCACCTCCAAGGACTTCCTCTGCAAGTCCCGTTCGCCCAATTGCTCGAAGACCATGAACCAGCTTCGAGCTGTGGTGGAAAGGTTCCGGTCTGAACTGATCCCTCCATCTCTTCATAAGCATCAGGTTGTCGTATGTCCCCGCGCTCTGCTGTCTAGCCCGACCTATTGACAGGACTGCTTTGTCTGCTTTTTCAGAATCAAGATGCTTCATCAACATTTCCATTTCCTGTTGTGACAGTTTTGAAGTGACGTTGGAGAGTACACTAAGACTTTCATCGTAATCTGTATGTATAAAATAGGACAAAATAAGTCGAATCATTTAAGTAAATCATCAGCAAATCTAAGTCTGAGAAGATATTGTTACAGAAATTTACAATAACCTAGCATTTCTATTTTCTTATACATTTGAGGTACTTGAGGAGGCTGTTTTAGAAGATCATTTGCAAAATATTTGTATCTTTTAAAAAATATAAATATATACCTTTTCGCAGAGTGTTTATTATGGCGAACTAATGCTTGTACGTTTCTCCTTGTATATAACATACTTCATTGGACCTCTTCATGTTCGGAAGATCTTTTAAATAATGATATTGATGTCATTTTTGACATAATGCTAACGTACTTGAACTGATTTCAGTGTAGGATAGGACAGATATCTTTATTTTCATTTGGAATGTGAAGTCATGGTATAGTAGTCATGAACGCATATGGCTTCGGTACCTACGTTTATTGGAAACCTATGGCTGTATAGGTCAACATATATGCCTGTACACGTTCAGTAGTACCGGTACAAAGTTGGCTTAATTATCATTGATCGAACACGGATAATCACTTCTCCGTGTAGACCCGCAGCAAAGATCAACCATGTTGACCATAATGAGAATATCTCACGCTAAATGGCTATCCGACCATATATGTCGAATGCTACGGTAAGCGCAATTGAACAAGCAAAGACACCGGTCTTTAGGCCAAGCAAAAACACTGGCTCCCTTAAATATACCGTCGCGAGGGAAAACTTCCTAAATCTTTGTAAAGCCGTCTGTAGCAGTATCTCTACCGTTCAGCTGGTCCAACAAATCACACAATTTAGCACTGTTATTTCCGAATTCAGGGCCGATGTGTAGTTTGATACACAAGGCACACAACTCATAGATTAGAATATTACACTGACCAATACTGTTCTTCTAGGTTCACAATTATCATCCGAATTAGCACCCATGTCAGCTCAAAACTCCATCCTGTGCCTATGCACACATTCAATTGGATTTTTGCATAACAAATAAAAAGGAAAAAATTCTTTTAATCAGTGATATCAAAAAAGCGGCTAAAAAAAGGCCCCATCATGTATAATGTTTGCTCACCGAAATAAGCTAATCGAGCAACATCCAGATATCCAAGACTTCTAATGGCGACACATAAATCACGCCGAATATGTGTGTCGATATCCTTCGATTTGTTCAATAGTTGTAGTAACAGACCTACGGTTCCTTTCTGAGATTCTCGCACTATTTTTCCGTTGCACGTATCCATGTTGAGAAGTGCAGCCAAAGGACCAACGTCATTACATAGTAAACTGAACGCTAAACGTACCATCTCAGCTTTGTACACATGTTGTGGAGGGCGCCGATTAACAATGCATCCTGGAAGATAAACGAGTAGACTTGAGTAAGTAGCTCAGATGTCATTATATTACAAGTATCTCAACCGTGTACCAATATTAGTATACAGGCAGAAGCTCATGTAACTTGGAGTGCGTAGCAAAGCGTCTGACTTTGTGAGACTATGCAGACTTTTACGATTTGTAGCGAAAATGTGTAACGATCTATTCTATGATTGTAATATGTTTGACATGAATGTTTCTTGACATCTTCGTAAGACTTCGTTGTTCTTGGTTGTAGATTGAGCAATATGCCTTTGAAGGTTGTTGCACTTGGGAAAGAAAATAAATGTACGAACCTGATAGTTTTATATCATGGAGCATTTTTCTTAGAGTTTCTCGACGGTTCCCCATGTCTTGGCTATCCCTCCATTCTTTGAGATGCTGGAGAGTGAAAGACTCCTCTCTGATTTCTTTCCGAAGCCTTGATTTTAGCTGGTCCATCTGTTTACTGGAAGAGATGCTTGCAAATACGTCCTTTAGTTCCTCGTCTTTTAAGTCGAGTACTTATAAAAAAAAAAAAAAATGGATTAAATGAATATATGGCAGAGAAATATATACAGTTTTGCAAGTGTATGCGGACAGATATTTTAAGTGACCCTTTTTCGGATAATGTTATGGTGTTTGAAGCAAGAATACATCTTCAACATGTATCTAAATATAATTAACTGATTTCTAGGTCCTTCAAACCATATAAGTAATATAATATGGTAAACATCGAATGGAAGCGCAGCTTTCTGTTACAATAGAAAACAATAATAGTCTAGCAAGAAAATAAACATTAGTTAGTTTTATTATTTGACCGCCGCAGTATCCAGCAATATAATTTCACGTAAACAAATAAATATTGTCATTACTGCAGATTCATCGGTAAAAGTTATATTTGCACGGGGTAAGTCATCTTTATTCGGATTCCATGAGAACAAATAATATTATATCGATGGAGACAATTACCATTACTGTTATTCGTCTTATTCAGCACATCTTTGTGAATTAAAACAAGTTCCTTCATGGAACGTGCTTTAGGTCCTCTCAGATTATCGTCCCTCCAACCTCTAAGCTTCTCTTCTATATCCTCCCTATCCTCATCAACTGAGATGCCAAGCCTCTCAAGAAATACTGATACCGCACATGTAGGAAGATGCTTCAGCAACGCCTGCAGATCATCATCAAATATGGTAGTACTATCTGTGTGTAAAGCAAAGGTCAGTAGTCACAGTAGTAGTTTAAAAAATGCTAGGATGGTACATGTTCCAATATTTATGATACAGTTTAGACCTTTATTAGCTTTAGATAATAATGTTGAGCGTCGGAGGGCTCAAACCAAGTAAATACATATCTAGATTGATTCTAAGATATGAATACATTGTTTTCACTGTTATTTTTTCGAGACTTCCCTTTGTTTTGTAAAATTAAGTCTTACATCAGGAAACTTTTAGTTTTTTGTAGATCAGTGCACAGTCTTTTAAAAAAAGCGTATGTTTTGTCATTTTCATTTTGGAATAGAATACGACAAAAGTGAAGGCCTAAAACAATTATTTGACAATCAATCATATTTTTGCTTGCAAAACAAGCGGGAAAGTGCGACTGTTAACATTTATATATATGTTTGATTAAGGGAATAAAAAGTTTGGCTATATTAACTTGGGCAAGGATATAGTATTAATAAAGCAGTAAATATGAATGATTCTGACAGGAATTAGCCTTCATTATTCGGATGGGGAGAAGTCTACCTTCCAATATGCCATTTTTACTTTTAATAAGTGTTGAAGTAATCGAACAAGATTATGCGGCGAGGGATGGAGTAGTACTTGTGTTCCTCTTTAAATCGGAGTCTATGTTTTCATTATATAGGCGGGGAGGTAAATAAAGCACACAATGATTGTTGTTAACTGACTAGAAAAAATGCAAACTCACTGAATTTCTTGGCATCTGGATGTGGTCTTTGTACAGTACCTCCTGTTTCAACCCGATAGATGGTTGTCCCAAATGAATCTGAAACACAGAAGAAGAAAAAATTGATAATGTTTATGCCTTGTCTTAAAAGTAGTCTCTTAACGTATATATTGAAGAAGAATGAACATGTCCCCAAAATCGTGATGATTTACCTGATACAAGGCTCTTAAGTATCACACACAAGTCAAGATGGTCTCTTTATATAATTATAAGATTAATAAATAACTTAATCAATTAATGAATTGATTGGGTAGTGAACATACGAAAGAATGAATAAGTAATGAAAAAATACATTACAAAATGATCGTTTAATGGATCTAATACCTGTCATGTCATGGCGACCAATTTTGATGACGGCATCATCAAGCCTGCATCTCTTCTCGAAGTTGCTGCATTCCTGTCCATCTACCCAGTCAATGATCATTGATTGAGTGTCGAACAGATCGTCATTATTGTCATGAATGATGGTGGTAATCACCTCCTGATCAGTGATTCCTACAGCCTTAGCAAGCCTCTTACAATGTCTTCCTGTCAGTCTGTAAACGAACCCTTCTACCTCTTGTGGGGATATCGCCTTCAGCAGATGTTCAGGAACTACGAACAAACAAACAATAAGAAGTCACGAAATGTCCAGTGTTTATATTGTAACGAAATCGTTATTTACATTACCTAGCCTTATGCCTAGGTCACATATAAACCGGGTCCCGTACGATTTTCCCTACCCGGCGGCTTGCCGTGGATTTAGAGACCGTACGGGAACCTTCCGATTTTCTTTTCTACGGCATGTGCGGTCACATATTCTGCGGCGCCCGGGAGGTGCCCGGTGAAAATTGGTCGAGTGAAATGCAAGGCGCCCGTAAGGATGCCGGCCGGTAAGCTACGTGCTCCGTCCGATGAGCAGGTGCACCCGTGGCTCCCGGAAGGATACTTTCCCTGAGGGAAATAATAACAACCCACAAATTGTTGAGTAATTATTTATGGCAATACCAGAATTTGATTCAAACGAAATTAGCAAAATATGTTATTGTATGACACTAACGCTGAAATAATGTCAGCAGTCAACTTCGCACTTTTTCGTTTATAATATAAACATAAAACAAGAGAGAAGAAAGGCAAATAAAAACAAGTATTTAGTTGCTAATGAGCCTTCGGGTAAAAACAGCCTATACAACACTTACCAATAAAGGTGAACCTTTTCAACCTCTCTCTCTCTCTCTCTCTCTATATATATATATATATATATATATAAACAGGCGTATATTTATTAGTGATATTTTCTAAAGCAACTTGTTAGCGATAATGTATGAAGATGGGAGGAAGAATGTGCGTATATGTGGGTGCGTGTGTGAGTGTGTGTTTGTGTGAGTATCTGCAAGCAAAAAATAATATGTGTCACGACAGATCAATATAAAGAGTTACCATTTATATGTCGGTCTGGGTGTAGTGGTATGGATTCCTGGTTGTCTTTTTCTGTAGGGAAAAAAAAGAAAGCCTGAGAAATTCCATTTGACTTTTCTCAGGGGAGTCCCACTCATAGTCGTGTACAAGGTTTAGGACGTATAATATGATGCGATATATAAATGAAACATCTGTTATCATTATTATTTGTCTTTAGCTCGTCAACATTCACAATAACTGTACGATTATTTTGCCTTGAGCCATCTTACTGTATGACAGAGCTTCAAGTAATTTCTCTTTGGTGTATTCAAGTTTATAGCATTGTTATTTTGGTAATCGTAAAAGTTCACGTACTTCATTAATATGCGTTTGTCTTGATATAAAACAAAATAAGCCTAAATCTATTGATATCACCCAGGGACGTTTTAAAATAATATTTTATTGCAAAGTTGTTTCGTTTTAGATTCCATTTCTTGATGATCCAAAGGTTAACCTAATACAAAGTAACAGATTAGCCTGGATATCATTACAGGTTTTCAGGCTTCATCGACATTTCTAATGACATTGTATTCATATCAAAATTGTAAAATATGGCTCAATAAAAAAAAGTATTTTGTATTCGTTTTTGTTACGAGGTAATTTTGTTTTCAGTGAAATACTGATGATGCTCAACCCAGTGATGAGAAACCATAGATATCAACATACTTTGATTCCTCAGTTGTTTCCTCCGGCACCAACAGATGATGATGGCAACACAAATCGAAATCGCAGCCAATAGAGCGATGACTACGATAACTGGTACAACTGCAAATAGAATAAAGAATATCGTTTGCGAATACAACTTTTCATAGTCCTCTTTTCTCGCATGGTGAGCGTCTCAACTACAATTTAATGTTTTCTTATGTGATGAATACTGCTTTTTTTCAATCGCATGCACTATAAATCAATCTGAAAATAAATTCAAAGTCTCATATTCAAAACTAGCGTTTTGTAACACTAGTCACAATTATAAAATAATGACGATTGAGAGCGGAAAAGTAAAACAAATATATGGTTTTGCTCAAACGAGTAGCCATTCATTATAAATGCTAATCATCCGTCATTACTGTTCGGTTATTTTTTTGGATCTAAATATGCTGGTCGACCCATGACCTATATGGGAATTAAAGTAATTTTCCGATAAATAAGACAAATATTCCCGCTTCCTTTTCTCATAAAGCAAATGGTACATAAGATCTTGAATTATGACATATCAACCATCAGGACCTTAAAAAAAGTCCAAACACGATTGACTCATTCCTGAACGTCGTACACATTTAGAGGTACCTTGTGTGGATAAAGTTTACCGATATTCTAGATCAGGCCCTCTCAACTAGTTTATTAGAAGTGCCAACCTGTATGTTTGACTTTGCTGCGAGAGGGTGTAGTGACCTAACCAACAAAGGGTCTAGATGATGGGAGTTGTATACTACATCTATCAACTCTACACAAAATAATAATTCATCGTGAGTTCTTACCAAATTTGGCTAAACCTCCATTCGGACTCGGTGATAACGTGGTTTGATTGAAGGATGTTCTCATGGTAACGGTAGATTCTAACAAGGTCACGGTGACGGTCACGGTCCTTAGGTCTTGCAATCCCGGGATATCAGAAGTGACACAAACATAGGGGCTTTCACTGGGTTCAGCGACGATGGAGATTGATTTGCTTTTCGTTCCGTCCATATTTGCATATTCTGTGATATTTTTTGCACCCATCTTTTTGGATTCGTGTAAGAAGTAGAGATCGATATCTGGAAAGTAGCTTGATGCTGAGCATGTGATGGTGATGCTATCAGAGGTTGACAGACTACAGGTTTGATCATCGTCCTTTGGAAGTATTCCTCGACATTCATCGATAAGGGGAAAGGGTTCCAACGGAGGAGCTGAACAATTAAAAAAGTAAATTTGCTTTAATATCAACGAAGCTCATCAGATCTTTAAGTGAGAAATATCATGTGACACATAGAGCTATTTTCTTCAATATAAATGTTCAAATTGAATATATCAATACCAATACAATTATTAGTAGTATAGTAAAAGTAAATTATATGGTGTACAACATGTAATAGTAATATTCTCTTTTTGTCGTCATGATTAAAATTAAAAAAAAGGTAGTATAATTGTATAGCATAGGGATATTTATCAAAGAATCCTATAAGGGTTAATTCTCAGTCATATTGTTGAATGAACACAGAGTGATATACTCACCGAAGACGTTTACTTCTGTGAAGTTGTGAATCAAGATCCCTTTGTAGTTTGAAACTCTGCAGATATATGTTCCTTGATCTGAAACTGTAATGTTTCTGATGATGAGAGAGAAGTCATCGTTCATATAGCAAGACCCGTCACGGACACATGACCCGGATGCGGATTCTCCTTCCACCCACGTGATCAGGTTGGGTGACTTCGTTGGCTCATCTCCTCTCTTCCAGTAAACGGCGATTGGCGTTTCATAAAACTGGCATTTTAGAGCAAGCTCATCTCCTTTCTCGGCAGTTTTGTGTGAATCGGTATACACAACGCCATCAGGTACATCACAACTCACACCTGCATTAAACAAGGAAGAAATATGAACAAAAATACGGTGGTTTATTTAATTCTTGACGAAATAATGATACTCCCTGCAGTCGTACATTAGCTTTCTTGCAACGAAAAGGCTAAGAGATCGTCTACCTTGACTGAAAAATATGTGGAATGACACTTTCCAGTACCAAAGGTTGTTAAATGCATCATGTTATTGTTTTGTGCTTCCCCAACAAAGCAGTAGTCGCCATATCCAACTCGAACCGGGTTCTGCTGCCTGCTGCTGCATATAAGCCAGTTCACGGTTGCAGTCTGAGCATGAGCAGAGAAAAGTCATTGCAGAACAAATTTTGAAATTCACAGAGACAAAATACTAGATACGTGCTCATGAATGCAATGTAATCATTATTCATTTATGCACAAGCAGTGCACTCCATGAAACACTGGTGGAAGTATTTCTTGACAAGGGAAAACAAAGGATATTTTTGTAGCACCTCCATCGATGTAGGAGTGATTATTTCAAAATGTACAAAGTGGGGCCTTTTCATGTTTTGAAGATATGTGGATATTCGGGGTCATTTGGGACATGTGCTAACCATGAACTGGTCTATAGTTACGCTGGTCTGTGGAAGCTTGTGTTAACTTAATCGTGGCAAGTTGGTCCGAGTAGGAGCATGCGGACAACTATTGGTGTAAGTGAAATATACATGAGGTATTCACTGCTATTGGGATTAACTTACGACGACTAGCAAAACCTTGTCTGAGCAAGACTATTATATGGATTTAAACCCGGCTCAGTGGAAGCCTAGATACATTGCATCATTTTTAACAATAAGGCACGGGGCATAATACAACTTTTAAAGGAAGTACATTTGTACTGTCATGCATACATTGCAAGACGTATACAGTAGGGTTGCAAGACATGTAGAGCAACTTATAAATCGGGTCGCTATTTTATTCATACGATGACAAGGATCCGATTTTCTTTGTTTCAAAGCATATAGTCAAAAGCTAAAGATATGGTTTGGAATTCCCCAAACTTGCGTCTCATGCTTCAATTCCTGCCATACACGCATTGCGGCAAAAGGGAGCGCGTCATAATTCACTGATCTGGTGAACCATTCTGTAGTTACGGTGAGAAGCATAAGGGGATGATTAAACCAAACCACCCACATGGACAGTGAAACCCTCTTTACTTGATTTTCATGACAAATACTAAGAATCTATCATAATGATCTGCATATTCCTTGGTATTTTAAGGCATGGTGTATACAATATAGATATTTTATTTTTCTGAGAAACCAAGTTGGCCAAGTTGTATTTAGATATGGCTCTGACCATTGTATGTGTAAATGAGATATCAAGTGTAAGAAAAACGGATAGGGAACGAGAGAAACAGAGAGCTTTTACTTGCATATGCCACGAAAAGTAAACAAAAAAACTTCCAGTTTATTGTCACCATCCGAAACGCTTCTACCATTTCTTACCAGTTGTACTAACGTGATCTGCATACAATTTTGACAAATAAATTGGGTTTTCACGTTGTGGACGAACAATGCACAGTCTGGTTTAACAATGAATGAGTCAGAGTTTGATTCCGCGTCATCGAGCATGTGGCATGACTTCTGTCGGTGAAGAACCCCGTGAATAACATGAACTAGCTTGCTGTTCGTACCGAACCGAGTGGGCCGACCCAACGAAATCTGCCTTTGTGACTACTTCACTTGAATGAATAAAATGCTTTCAATTCTACAAAAACAAAACACACTTTTGCATAACCGTAAATTCTTCGCAACGTACATTTGAATACAATTTTGGAACTTTGGATGAGGCCCAGGGAGACAGATTCCTGATACAATTAGAATATAATTGGGGTATTTTTATCAAACGGACCTTATATCTCTTTATTATAAAAGGATGCACCAACAAAATTATTCTACATTCAAAAGTGTCCCATAATTGTACATCTCTCTCGCATTATTTCTTTTTACCCAAACTCTGTGGTAATATTTAGTTTTCTTCTATATTATGCTTATATCTGAATGCACTGAGGAAATGACTCGGCTAAATTTCTATTTATATTCATGGTCTCGTTTCTCATGGTCTGTGAAGAGATAGAAAGGTGCTTATGTACAGTGCACATACTTCTCATTTAGTCTTGGCTCTCAACACGATACCACTCTTGTTGATTACGTTCACTATACGAGTGGAAAACAATTATTAATAGTTATATTCAGCCAATGCTAGAACAAAACAAGTTGTACAAACATACAAAGATATTTGCATTTTAACGAAACATTAAGTGAGATAATGCAGAGATGAATGGAAAATAGCTTCTTACATGTGCTTTAGTAATATCGCAACGAATAGGCTCAGCTTATGAGCCGTTATCACATGTACTTATTATACACAGTTTACAACATAATTCGTCGTACCCTTTGCAAAAGGTTGCGTTTTGTTTTCGTTACTGAAGAATAAAAGGTGGAATGGTTAAGTTAGGGTATCTGTTGGATACTGTTTAATATAAGCTTTAATATTTCACATTCTCAAGATACAAACAAACCAACTATTCACATATTTCAAGAAATACAAAGCTTGGTATTAAAGGAATAAATAATTTAGTTCTTAAATGTATACTGGATCGGTTACATCTATTTTGCACCGGTCCCCAACTTTAAATAATCCTCTGTTTGTCCATGCCTTGAGCCTTAATGCATGGCCGTACAGATGATTTTGTTATGTTGGGGACCGGGGGGGGGAATTCAATTAATTATTGAACATTTATTTATTTATTTTTATTTTTTTTTAATTTGTGGGAACTGCCCCCTACCCTAGCCCCCGCTGCGTACAGTCATGGTTCAGTGACAAAGCAATGGCCTCGTAACTGTGAGGCCCCATGATCAAACCGTGTCGATATGCTATATTAGTGCCCTTTTGTGGAGCATTAATCCTCATTACTGTCATTTATGACTTAAGGGCGTAGGTTGGGGTAAACAAAAAAATTGGGGTAAACAAAAATTCCAACTATATGAGCGACAGTGTAGTTTGGTACGTTTATTTTACTTACTGTTTAATTTTCAGATATCAATGATAGTTTAAAGATATGGAAACATTTCTTGTATTTTATATTTAGCAAAGCAATCTCACATACAAAATTACTATCAAGATGTACGTTCAAGGCAAATTTATCTGTGGACTGTGATGTAGAGAGTTTACTCGTCATTGTAGATTCATGATTAGCCATCTGTTATTTATTAGTCTTTAATTGTCGACACACATACAATTACCACACACACGAACACTCTCATTTCCCCTTCCCAACACACCATTTCCGCACACCTGGTTCACACATCATACCTAATGGCATTACCCCTGCAACATAGTGGAATGTTTATGCTGGCAATGGTCCAGCGAGCGAAAATGAGACAACCGGAGCAATATGCTCGGAAAAAAAACTCGTAAGAACTCTTGAATCGATCGTAAAAGTGGCGAAATCGTAAGGATCCGTGAAAGATCCGTGTATGTGGAGGGGGTATTAGCAGTCAGGTAAAATAACCGTCCCTCCCCCCCCCCCCCTTCCATTCCAGCTTTAGTACTGATGCTGGTGCTACCTGTACAGCACCCAAACACATGGCTACTAATTTTGCACTAAGCTTCTATAGGTGCTATAATTAAATATCATGTATATGTTACTACCTATCAGATTTTAAATTATGCTGGTACACATTATATTTTATTCCATTTTTCCTGACTAATGTTGTTATTTTATACCTGCATTGTATGTTACCTGTACTGTGAAAGCATGTACAATTCAGATTATGACTTTCATTCATGTCTTTAATAAACCTTGATTGAATTGAATTGAATTAGCATCCAAAGGTGCTTTTATTTTTAATAACGGTGCTGATGAACAGATATACGGGTTCTAAACAGCGCCGAGAGTACGTTTTACATGAGAGTCATACATATCAATATACATGTACAGTTCTCTTTTATTATGACTAAAAATTATCTATATTGTGTTATTTGTATGTCATTCATTCAATATCACGGTTAAAAAATTAGCTACAAGCTAGAAGCTG